CTCTAGACTCTCTCTCTCTCTCCCTCTCTCTCTCTAGACTCTCTCTCTCTCTCCCTCTCTCTCTCTTTACCTCTCCCGGGCTTTCATCAAAAGTGCGTCCTCTTCTAAAATAACATAATTGAAACGAACATCCCACACCTACCATACACTGTAACTTTAACACGACCCCCCGGGGCAGTGCAACTGACTGTTGAAGTGTCTTTAGGCCATTCCCAAACGGGGGGACATTAACATCTCGAGTTCTTATGCGCAGTAAAATTGTAATTGTAAATGGGCTGATTCATCAACGTCGTGCTCATAACTGTGTCTGAACTGCAACAGGGAACTGTTGCTTTTTCTTTCCTAATCCTTACTATCGTCAATTTCCTCTACTTCTTTTGTATGTTTGTCACACTCTTGTGACCCGCTATGTCCCGGGTGCCTTGATAATCGAAGCAGACTTTGTGCTGTTGAGGCTAGAGAGGTGAGCACAATAGGTCTGATTCCATGTAAAGACTTCTCTGTTATTGACATCCGCCCCTTGGCGCTCATATGACCTTATGCAGTTGCGAGCACCGTAAATGTAAAACCTCTACTAAAACAAGCAAACTTTAACGCACGTCTCCCCCCCCCGTTTTTCTCAGGAGCTGAGAAGTGTCCCTGGCTGAGGTGGCCGTGTGTGGTGTACGGCAGCCATGTTGCCACCACCCTCATCCCAATCATCAGCCACATCCTGCTGCACGATTTCTCCACGGGCAAACACCCCGGCCCCCGAAACATGGAGGAGCGGTTTACTCTCATCTCCATCTATTGTCCCTACTTCTTCTTCCCCCTCTTCATTATGCTGGACGCTCTGTTCAGCTCGGTCTATCGACATTCCCTCCATCTGCATCAGAAGAAGCACAGATAGGAACGTTGTTCTCGTGTGTCTGTCTGTACATCTGTCTGTCTCTCTGTCTGAGTCTGTCTGTACGTCTGTCTGTCTCTCTGTCTGAGTCTGTCTGTACGTCTGTCTGTCTATCACAAGCAGCATGTGTCTTGGTGTCTTTTCATTTTCTCTTTCGTGCCTGCTTGTGTGAGTCACAATGAGCTGATAGTTGTATGAGACAAATTGTTTAGTACAGTTTAGACACTCGCTCACATGTGTATGGATATCTATTGATACATACGTACACAAATACTTTCTAAGTCTCTTTTCATACAGAAAGATGCATTCATAATTACTCACTCTCACAACCTTTTCCCCTGCTCTCACTCTCACACACACACACACACACACACACACACACAAAAACACTCACACACACACACACACACACACAAA